GGAAGGAACCCACGATGGCAAGGAGGATGAGAAGTCGGGCTTTGGACATACGTTTTTGTGAAAGGTTCGTGAAGGACGACTAAGGCCGTCTTAGGTGCTCTTTTAGGGCCCCCATGGGGCCTTTTTGGGCACTCTTGGGGCCCTCTTGAGGCTCATTGGAAGGGTTTGGGAGGCCTCTTGGGCCCCGTGGCTCAAAAAAGAGAAGGGCCCGAATTCATGTCCCCCTCTCGGAGACTCAAAAGTGGCGCCTTGGGGCCCTCTTGGGCCGCTCGGGGAGCGCTCTTGGGTGCTCTTGGGGCTCTCTTTGGGGCCCTCTGAGGCCCCTCTTGGGTCTTTCTTAGGCCGTCTTGGGGCCATATTGAGGCCTCAAACACCCATCGGAAGCGAACACGCGAGACGGCAAACACTTGTTGTTCTCCAGGTTTTTGAAAGATTTTGGCTTCTTGGAGGGTGCATAGCATGGCTCGAAGGGCACTTGGAACCGTCTTGGGGTTGTCTTGGGGCCTCTTGGAGGTATGTCGGAGGCTATCTTGAACTGTGCTCGGCTATCTTGGGCCATCTTGGAGGCTATCTTGGGCTCTGTGAGGCCCTCTTGGAACCACCTTGGGCCATCTTGTGCGCCCCAATCGGTCGCGCTCCCCCCCCTCCTAGGCCCAGGGGGCGGGGCAGGGGCAGAGGTCGAGGCCCCACCCTTCGCCCGCAAGCCGCCTCGCTCACTCCCACCCGCCCTCCCAACACATAAGGAACACCCGAGGGAGTTTCAGCATATAGCTTAGGAGCGCCACGCATGCCATGTGCGCCACGGGTTCCAGGTGCACCAGGCATCCTAGAGGCCCTAGCGAGCCAGGCGCGCCAGGTGCGGCACGTTCTCCGTGTTTCAGCAATATGCCGGCACCCCCGCCGTCCCTGTCAAAAACCAATGCAAAGTGGTCGCGGAGCGCCCGCGCATGCTCTGGATGCGGAGACAGAGTGCATTCTGTATTGTTTTTTTGACAGGGATGGTTGGCCTGCGCGCAGCGAACAATACGACGGCACCCCCGTCGTCCCTGTCAAAAAAATCAATGCAAAGTGGTCGCGGGGCGTCCTCGCATGCTCCATATGTGGAGGCTAAGTTCATTTGGTGCAATTCTTTGTCAGGGATGGTGGATTTATTTGCGCGCGCCGAGCTACATGACGGCGCCGCCGCTGTCCCGGTCAAAAACCAATGCAAAGTGGTCGCGGGGGGCCCGCGAATGTTCCAGATGTAGAGGCAACGTGTATTCAATGTGTAATGTTTTTTGTCAGGGATGGTTGGCCTTCGCGCAGCGAGCAATATGACGGCACCCCCGCCGTCCTTATCAAAAACCAATGACTGCAAGCTGGTCGCGGGGCGCCCGCGCATGCTCCAGATGTGGAGGCAACGTGCGTTCTGTTTTTTTTTTTGACAGGGATGGTGTGTGTGTGTGTGGGGGGGTGGCATGCCTCGCGTTGGCCCACAGTGGGGTGGGGGAGCCGGTGTATATCAATAAGGAGCAGTGGTGAACCCTTCGCCCGAGCAGGGAAAGAGGGATTTTGGCAGAGAGGAGGCAAACCTCGTTAAGCCACCTACGCCCACAGGGCTGGTAGGATTCTGTAGTGGATCTTCTGCTCGAACCGCCCCGGGCCGTGCAGAGCGAGCGTGGAGGTCCCGCCCCCGACACCCCGAACCCTTGGCCGGCCACGGGCGCGGAGACCACCTGTGCTTCTCTGCCTGGGCCGCAGGGGGCGCGCTTTTCTCCCAGCTCGGGTCCTGCATCGCCAGGGGGCGGGGGCGGCGGGGGTTGGGGGCTCCGCCAGTGGCGAGGCACAGTACGCGGACCCGTTCATTGAGGTCGGTGGTCCTCTTCAGAACGTCCCCATTCCAATGCTCCCTCCTCCTCCCTTCACTCCCTTCTCCCTGCGCTCCCGCCCCCCCGCGCGAAGGGATGAGAGGGATGGGGGAGGGTGGTGGGAGGACTGCGTCATGGGGATGGCAACGAGTTTCCCCAATGAGGTTCTCAAGGAGTACGAGTCCAAGCTGCCCATTGTGGTGGTCCTCGAGCCCGACAGCCTTCCCAACCTGGCAACCAATCTTCGGGGGTTGCTAAAGGTGCCTCTGGCCCAAGGTGCCCCCATCATTTCGTTATATTTGGAAGCCCCTGGGGCCCTCTGGGGCTCGTGAGGGGTGCTCTGGAGGCCGTGGGGGCCTCCTTGAAAATCACGGGGGCACTTTGGCCAAGCGGCACTTCTAGCGACATTCGAAATCTGGACCACCCGAAGTGCGGCAACCCTGCGACGATCGCCGCTTACACGGGGGGGATCCGATACGCTATGGAGCAGCTGACCACACAGGTGCCCACGGTCTCGGTTTACTTGGATGCCGCTCACGGCGGCTGGATGTCAAGGGAGGAACAAACCACCCCGACCCCGGCAAATAGGGAGGGTTTACGAAACGGCTCAGTGCGTTTACTAAGCAGCCCTGCCCTGTTCAATTATTCTTTGGGTGCGGCGTTTACTAAACAGCTTCGATTGTCGGGGTACTTAACTATTATGAGGGTGGATTTTCTGCTCTGTAGGATGGGCTGGGAAGACAACCTGGAGAAGTACGTGAATTATTTGAAGAAGGCAGCTTTCCCAATGACCAAGATTCGCGGCTTTGCGACGAACGTGGCGAATTACCAACCCCTGGGCCAGCTCTGTCCGTTCTGTCCCGACCAGGGCTGGCGAAATGGATTCTGCTTGAACGGTCATCATACGACAGATCCTTGTTGCGCTGACCCTTGCAAGTTGTTGGGGCAGTGGAGTCCAGGCAACAACGAGCTCAATTACGCGCAGGATCTTGTCCGGGCAGCCAAGGCTATACTTGGTATGGATGCTCGCGCAATCATCGACACTGGCAGGAATGGTGTTGCGAACATGCGCAAGGACTGCAAGAACTGGTGCAACCCCCGTGGCGCTGGCGCGGGCATTCCTTCGACCGCCGACGTCGCTCATCCCGAAGTGGTCGACGCCTACTACTGGCTGAAGACCCCGGGCGAGTCAGACGGCTGCAGCCAGCAGCTGCCAGATGGATCCCAGTGCCCCCGTTTCGATACTGGTTGCGGCTCCCCCGACTCTATGTAGAAGGACAGAGAATTGCAGAAGTACAAGTATTCGGAGGTCCGCGCTGGTTTCTTGGGTCGGCGCTGCTTTTTCCCCACGCCCTCTCCCTGGCGCCGGAAGTGCCGCTAGGCCTGTGGGGATGGGGGTCCAGCAATGACCGACAAAAATTGGCGCGGACTTCCGAAGGTTTACCCTCGGTGGCAAGCCCCGGGGGGAGGTGAGAAAGGGGCAGGCCGACTCATCTGGCGGCGGGGACTGCTCAGAAGCCTTCGCGCCTTCCGAGAAGCCTTGTGAGGCCTCTCCGAAGCCGCACGCGGCATCTCAGACGGCCGGGCGTCTCCCGAGGAGCCCCGCCGCCCTCCGAGCCTGCCCGCCACCTCTCAGCTCTTCCTTGGGTCCGCTGGCCGGCAGATCTGCTTCTGCCGCTCCTCTGGGCCCTTCTGCCCATCGGCAGCCTCTCGGCGGAGCCGCGGGCCCCGGAGGCGGGCGCCTGGTTCGACCACCAGGTGAAGCAGCTGGCCGCCAACGCCCGCTTCGAGGCCCCCGCCGCTGTGAACCGCAGCGCCTGGGGCTACGCCGCGTGCGGCCCAGGCTACCAGCCTCGGCCGGCGCGCAGAGGGGGGCCAGGGCGAGGGTGGCGGCACCGTAAGCGCCACGCCTATCGTAGTAGAAGAGGGAACGGGCCACGCCTGTCAGAATCGAAGAGGGAACAACGGCATATACATACATTATCCCATTGCGACCCTACCTAGGAGTTGGAGCATTTAGGAAAGCAACATCTACATCTACACCGACAGCTACATTTACATCTACAACTGCATCTACATCTACATCAACATCAACAGCGAGACTCACATCTACATCTACATCTACATCTACACCTACATCTACACCTACATCTACATCTGCAGCATCTGCACTGCAGGTCCAGCTTTGCGTTGCTTGTGTTTTGCTTTGCGGTTGCTGCTGTTGCATTGCCTTTGCTTTGCTGCTATGCTATGCTATGCTATGCTATGCAATGCTATGCTATGCTGCGCTATGCTATGCTATGCTTTGCTATGCTATGCTGCGCTATGCTGCGCTATGCTATGCCATGCTATGCTAGGGTACGCTTGGCTGCGCTGTGTTATGCTAGGCTATACGTTCTATGCTATGCTGCGCTATGCTATGCTATGCTTTGCTATGCTATGCTATGCTATGCTGTGCTAATGCTGCGCTGCGCTATGCTGCGCCGCGCCGCGCTAAGTTAAGCTAAGCTAAGCTAAGCTAAGCTGAGATAAGCTAAGCTAAGCTAAGCTAGGCTAAGCTAAGCTAAGCTAAGCTAAGCTAAGCTAGGCTAGGCTAGGCTAGGCTAGGGTAGGCTCGGCTAGGCAAAGCCAAGCTAAATTCTAGACGCTTCGCGTATCCCCACCAGCCCGTCCAGAAATGAGTCCCAGGGGAGTGGAGGTTATGAGGGAAGCGGGGGAGCATGCAGAAGAACAAAGGGCGGGGTGAGCCGCCATATACCCCAAGAGGGGGAGGATGTAGGAGGAGCCGTCGTCGTCGGAGTAGGAGGAGGAAGAGGAGGAGCAGGAGGAGGAGCAGGAGGAGGAGGAGGAGGAATAGAAGGAGGAGGAGATGGAGGACTGCGAGGACGAGGAGGACGAGAAGGAGGAAAAGGAAAAGGAGGAGGAGGAGGAGGAGAAGGAGGAGGAGGGGGAGGGGGAGGAGGGAGGAGGAAGAAAAAGAGGAGGAGGAGGAGGACAATGGCGAGCTTGGGGGCCTCTTGGGCCGTCTTTGGGGCCTCTTGGCGGTCCCGGGGGCCTCTTGCGTATCTCGGGGGGCCTCTTGTGGCCTCTTGGGGGTCTCTTGGGGGCCTCTTGGAGGCCTCATGGGGGCCTTTTGGGGCCTCTTGGGGCTCTCTTGGGGTGCTCTTGGGGCGCTCTTGGGAGCCTTCGAAGCGCTCTTGGGGCCATCTTGGAGGAGATCTATCAAAGAAGGGGGGGTCCCCAATTAGCGCTGCCCCTCTAGAGTGCCTCGAGTCGCCTCTTGGGCGGCCTAAGAGGCCAAAATCCTTCCAAAACCTAGGTAAAATCAATGTTTGTTGCTTTCTTGCCTTTTCGCTCTTGGAGCCGTCTTGGGTCATCTTGGACTCTCTTGGGGCCTCTTGGGGGTCTCTTGGCAACGTCTTGGAGGCTTCTTGGGGGCCTCTTGGGGTCTCTTGGGGCCCTCTTGAGGCGCTCTTGGGGCGCTCTTGGGAGCCTTCGGGGCGCTCTTTGGGCCATCTTGGAGGAGATCTATCAAAGAAGGGGGGGTTGCTTATTAGCCCCGGCCCTCCAGAGTGCCTCGAGTCGCCTCTTGGACCCCCCCAAGATGCCAAAATCCTTCCAAAACCTAGGTAAAATCAATGTTTTGTGTTTTCTCGCCTTTTCGCTCTTGGAGCCGTCTTGGGTCATCTTGGACTCTCTTGGGGCCTCTTGGGGGTCTCTTGGCAACGTCTTGGAGGCTTCTTGGGGGCCTCTTGGGGTCTCTTGGGGCCCTCTTGAGGCGCTCTTGGGGCGCTCTTGGGAGCCTTCGGGGCGCTCTTTGGGCCATCTTGGAGGAGATCTATCAAAGAAGGGGGGTTTCCTTATTAGCCCCGCCCCTCCAGAGTGCCTCGAGTCGCCTCTTGGACCCCCCCAAGATGCCAAAATCCTTCCAAAACCTAGGTAAAATCAATGTTTTGTGTTTTCTCGCCTGTTCGCTCTTGGAGCTGTCTTGGGCCATCTTGGACGCTCTGACACCTCGCGACCGGCCCCGTCCAGGTCAGTGGGGAGGGGTAAGGGGAGGGGTAAACCCCTCCCCGAAGGGGAAGAAGGGGGTTGGCAGAGGAAACTCCCTAGACCACCTACGCCCTAAAGGGCTGGTGGGACTAAGCTGAGATGAGATGAACTAAGCTAAGCTAAGCTAAGCTAAGCTTAGCTAAACTAAACTGGGTGAACCCAGGGGGCGCAACTGGGGGAACCGCGGGGCGGATACTGGGGGAACCGCACGGGGCGCTTTCCACTGCCCGGCCCCTTTAAGCCCAGAGAGTAGGAACCCTTCTAGGCAGAGCCTAGGTAGGGAACTTTCGGAGTTCCGCGCGGGCTTCCTCGGACCGGCGCTCTCCCCCCCCTGGCGGCGCTTCCGGCGCCGCCCCTGGCGCGCTCCGCGCGCCAGCCATGGAGGGGAGATCCGCGCGGAGGTCCGCAAGTTGAAGTTCCTGCCGTTCTCTGTTTCTCCCCACCTCCGTAGCCTCTGGCTCAAGCCGTCTCAGCTCGAGCCCACCCCGTCCAGGTGCACGCCTGGCTTGGCCCGTCGTCGCGATGGTGTACCCCGCGGCGCGACGACGGCGGCGGTAGCGCCGGGCTGCCGCCACCCGCAGCGCTGGGGCCGCTGGGGCCGCTGGTGTCGCTGGTGCCGCCGTCGCCGTGGGTGCTGCAGCCGACTCGGGCGCCGTGTGCGTCGCTTGCGCCGCTGGCGCCGCCAGCGTGCCCCGCGCTGCGAGTCTGGCGCTGCTCGCGCCGCGGGCGGTGCCAGCGCCGCCAGCGTCACAGGAGCCGCGGGCGCCGCTTTCGCCGCCTGTGCCGCGGGCGCCGTGGGTGCCGCCGGCGCCGCGGGCGACGCGGGCGCCGCGGGCGTTGCGGGCGCCGCGGGCGCTGCGGGCGCCGCCGGCGGGCCTCTGCAAGCGCCGCTTTCGCCGCTTTCGCCGCGGGCGCCGTTTGCGTGCCCTGCGCTGCGGCGCCTGGCGCCGTGTTGCTTTGTGTCGCCGGCGACCGCGCTTTGGCGCGCGCCGCTGCTGCGGCGGCCCCTGCGCGGCGACAGTGCCGCCTGCGCCCGCGCCGCGACCCGCGCGGCCGCTGCGGCGGCCTCCGCCGCTGCTGCTGGCTCCGCCGCGTTGCCCGCGGCCGCTGCGGCCGCCGCCTCCGCGGCCGCGGCGGCCTGCGCGGTTGCTGCGGCCACGCTGTCGGCCGCGGCGGCCTGCGGTGCCTGTTCAGCGGCGGCCTCTGGCGGCGGCAGGAGGACGACTCAGGGTTTGGAGGATGTGTCAGGCGAAGCTGGTCGGACCACCCCTGGCCACGGCATCTATGAGCCTGGAGCTGCTCGGGTGTTTCAGGCGAGATTGGCCAGACCATGTCCAGGTCAGTGCGCATCGGAGCGCAGCGTCGCAAGAGTTTCGCAGACGAAGCGTTCCCTGGCCAGCCCAGTCGGGTTCCTCCGCGCCAGCACCCTGGCCAGCGACCTTAGGCTCCGCGCCCTCGCATCGGGGAGAACGGAAGATTGCCGCCGCAGCTTGGAGCACGGACTTCAGCCATCGCGCCGGCGCAGCCTGGAGTTCTGGCGCCAGCGGCGTCGCCAGCGCAGCGGGTAGCACCGTCGCCATCATTCTCGTCAGCGCATCCTGGATCACCGACGACATCATTCTCGCAAGCACTGCTGGGAATACCGATGCCAGCATCCACGCCAGAGCATGGGGCTCTGACGCCAGCTTCCTTGCCAGCGCAGCCGAGAGCGCGCTCGCGTACGTGGAGCTGGCGAAGGGCAGCGGCCTTCGCAGTGAGATGCTGGGCGGTGGCGAACAGTGGCAGCGGGCGGTTCCGATGCCCAGCGACATGCGATTGGTGAAGGTGGAGCGCAGCGCTGTCAGCTGCGCTGCTGGATCAGCGAGTGCGTTGGGGTGCTGGTCGCAGAGCCAGTGCCCTCGCGATCAACTGCAGTGCAGGAGTCAGTGTGGGTTTCGAGCTGGGGCCCTGCTCGATCAGGTGCAGTTCTGGAATCGCCGAGCGCCAGACTGAAGAGCAGTGGCAGCGGGCCATGCCGCGGCCCAGCGAGGTTCTCGAATCGGATTCTCGTCTCGGGCTCCGAGCCCTGCGCGGTCAGTCGCGGCGCTGGGGCCAGGGAGGGCGGGGGGCGGAGGGCGCGGGCGGCCGCGGCGGGCCGTGCTGCCCGTGTCCGGCGCTCGGCCCCGCGCCCTGTCCGACGACGAACCCTGCGCCTCGCCCGCCCCGCGCCCGGCCCGGCGCCCGGCCTGACTTCCAGCCCCGGGCGCCCCCCTTCGAGCGCCGCTGCTCAGCGAGGCGCTGGGTGCGAAGCTGGGGCAGCAGCGGCGGCGTCGGGGGCGGCGCGGCGGGTTCCAGCAGCGCGTCCGCGAGCGGCAGGGCGGGCTCCAGCAGCGTCATTGCGAGCAGCGTTACGGGCGCCAGCGACGCTATCGCGGGCAGCGCGGCGGTCTCAGGGGGCGCGACCGCGAGCCGCGCGACGGACTCCAGCGGCAATTTCGCGAGCAACGCGACGGATTCCAGCAGCGCGATCGCCGGCGGCGTGACGGACCCGAACGTCGCCGCGCCGAGGAGCACGACGGCTTCCAACGGCGCGACCATGAGCAGCACGACGGATTCCAGCAGCGCCATCGTGAGCAGTGGCGCGGGCCCCAGCACCGCGACCGGCAGAGGCGCCATCGCGAGCATTGCGACGAACTCGAGCAGCGCGACCTTGCGCAGCGCGACGGACTCACGGGTCATCGTCGCGAGCAACTAGACGGATGCCAGCAGCGCGATCGTGAGCGGGGTGACAGACTTTCTGCAGCGCCGCCAGCAGTGCGGCTCCTTCCAGAAACGCGATCGTGAAGCGTGGCGGAGCGGACTCGGGCTGCGCCGCGGGCAGCCCGACGGACTCCGACAGCGAGACCATGCGCGGCGCGACGGACTCCTGCAACGCCGCCGTGGGCAGCGGTGCGGATGCCATGGCGGATTCCGGCAGCGTCGTCGTGGGCAGCACTACGGACTCACACTGCGATCGTGAGCTGCAGGATGTTCTCCAGCAGCGCAATTGCGAGCAGCGCGACGAACCCTGGCGCCGCGTCCGCGAGCAGCGCGGCGGATTCCAGCGGCGCGCCCGCGCGCGCGGCGCGATTGTGGACAGCAGGACGGACTCCGACAGTCCCATCGTGAGCAGCAGGGCGGACTGCAGCGGCGTCGTCGCGAGCTGCGCGACGGGCCCTGGCAGCGCGCCCGTGAGCAGCGCAACGGGTCACAGGAGCAAGACCGCGAGCAGCAGGACAGGCTCCAGCGGCACCGTCGCGAGCGGCGCGACGGGCTGCAACGGCGCGACCGTGGGCAAGAGGGCGGGCTCCAGCAGCGCCATCGTGAGCAGCGTTGCGAGCGCCGCGACGGACTCCGGCTGGTCGATCGTGGGCAGCGTGACGGACCCCAACAGCAACGCCGTCGGCTGCGCGACTCGACCCAGCAGCGCGACCGCGAGCAACGCGACGGATTATAGCAATGCTTCCGTGTGCAGCTTCACGGACTCCAACTCCGCGACCGCCAGCAGCGCTGCGGACTCCAGCAGACGCGTAGTGGGCAGCGTGACGGACCCCAGGGGGGGGGGGCGAACGCGAGCAGAAGGACGGCCTCCAGCAGCGCCGTCGGAGGCAGCACGACGGACCCTTGTTGCGCGTCCGCGAGCAGCGCGGCGGACCCCAGCAGCGCGACCGTGGGTGGCGTGACGGGCTCCAGCCAGCATCGCGAGCTGCGCGACGCACTCCAGCGGCGCAGTCGTGAGCGGCAGCGCGGATTCCAGCAGCGCCGTCGCGATCAGCATGCATTGCGCCAGCCGCGCCATCGTGGGCAGCGCGTCGGTCTTTAGCAATGCGACCGTGAACAGTGCGACGGACCCCAGTGGCGGCGTCGCGAGCGGCGCGACGGATTCCAGAAGCGCGATCGTGAGCAGTGCTACGGGCCCCAGCAGCGCCGTCGTGGTCAGCGCGACGGACTCCAGCAGCGCGACCGCGAGCTGCGCGACGGATTCCAGCCTTCTCCTGGAGCGTTGGGTGCCTGAGGAGGCCCTCGCGCCAGCGCGCCTCGTCGAGAGCCGCCCAGGGGCGCCCGTGTCGCCTAGCGCCCTGCGGGTGCGATCTGCGGCGACGGCGGTGTCGGAAACCAGGGCGGGGTGACCGTCGACGTTCCGCCGCTTGGCCTTCTCCCCCCTTGCTCTCGCCGTCCCCATTCAATGGGGGGGGCCGTGCCGCGAGAGATGGGTGTGCTCGGTGGCGTGCCTGGCGGCGCGGCGGCAGCGACGTCAGAAACCGGCGGGCCCCCCTCGTGCGGGCCCGGGCGCGCGGGGGTGCGACGGGCGGCGCCCCTGGGCCGGGGAATCGTGATGCTGGCCACCCTCCCCGCCCCGACCTTGGGCGCTTCCTGCTTCCTGGTGGGCCCGGCGCGCCCATTCTGGGGCGACGGGCTACTTCTGGTGGGCCAGAGCGCCCTGTCCAAGGCTGCGACGACATACTGGCCCCCCCCATGGCCGCGCTGCGTTGGAGGCGAGGGAGACAGGGGGGTCGGCGGGCTCCGACGATGGGGCGGCGGCGGCAACCTGCGACGTGGGTGGCGCCCAGGACGGTGACGCGATGCTTGGCGACCTGGGCCTCTAGGTCCAGAGCGCGCTGCTCGACGGCCTGCAGCCCCGGCGGCTCTACCGCGCTCGGTCCGTCTTGAGCATGAGGGCCCGGTTTGACTTGCGCGATTGGCAGGCCTGGCTTGGGGCCCGCTGCCGCGCTTGCAGGGGTTTGATTCGCGGCGCCATCTGCGGGGCACCGCGTGAACCCTTCCATTGCTGCAGCTGGCAGGTTGTGCTGCGTGCTCCTGTGCTGGGGCGTCCGGATGGGCGCCCCTGGACGGGGCGGCCGAAGTCGATTCGGAGACCGCTGCGGCCGCTTTCGTTTCCGGAGGGGGCCGACGCCGCCGCTGTCGGCCGCCTGGTGGGTGGAGGCCTGTGCGCGCCCTTGCTAGGCGAAGCCGACGCTCCCGTGGTGGGGGGCTGGGCCGCGGACGCGGGGAATGGTGCGTGCGGGCCCCCCAGGCCTGGCCCGGCCCTCGCAGCCAGATGCGCGGCCCGCCCCTGTGGCGAGCCCGCTGGTCCTTGGAACCCTCGGCCCCCCGGGTGGCAGCCGGCGCTCCACTGTCGCCTGGCCGCGACGGCGGCCGAAGATCCGACCCGTGCCGACTCGGCATGCTCCCTGGTTGCGTCTGGCCTCCTCGCCCCTCCCCACCTTCCCCCTCCCCCTCTACTTTCGACTTGGCTGGGGCGTCCCCCTCCCTAGTGGATTCTCCCTTTCCCCCTTTGCTCTTGCCGCTGGGCGCCCCTGCCTGGCGCCCCCTGTTGGCGCAGCCCCCTCCGTTTTGGCTTGGGGGATCCCGAGTGGGCTTCTGCGCCGCCTCTGCTGGCTCCTCCCGTCGCTGCCTCCCGTCAGCCGTGCGCCCCGTCAGGGCCTCGCGGCCCCTGGCTGGCGTGCAATTGGAGGCTCCCGCTCCGCAGCCTCCTGCCTCGCTGCTCCTGCTGGGCGCCCGCGCATGGCTGACTTCGTGGCCGGGCGGCTCGGTGATCTCCCTGCTGTGCTGCTTGCTCCATCCAGGGGCCCGCGGTCTCCCGCCCCTGCTCTGCTGCTCCCGCAGCTGGGCGCCCCTGCTTCGCCAGCCCCGTGGCGAGGCGTCCCTGCCGCGCCGGGCTGTGATGCGTGCGCCAGCTGGGCACGATTCTCTTTCCCCGCCTCCCTGCGCCCGCGGCGCCCCCGCGGCGGCCGCGGCGCCTCGCTGCCCGCGCTGCTCCGCTGGCGGTGTCCTTCTCCGCAGCCCTGGCTCCTGGCAGCTCTGCTGCCTCATCGGCGCTGGTGCCAGCGGCCCTGCCGCGCGGCCCCCGCTGCTCAGCACTGCATCCTCGCCCTCGCTCCTGTGCAGCAGCCCTGGCCCCCGGCAGCACCGTTGGACGCCTCCGTGGCCTCTGCCAACACTTCGCCGTGCTGCGCCACTTCAGTTGTTGGTGTTCTGCAGTTCAGCAGGCCCTGGCAGTTCTGCAGCGTGATTTGCAGCCTTCGGCAGCTTCGCAGCCGGCGCGGCTGCAACCTGGCCCCTGCAGCTCAGCTTGGCAGTGCTGCACCATTTTGCTGCGGCGAGGTGGTCGCTGGCCCAGCCCCGCGGGCACTTGGGTCTTCCCGCGCCCCGGTGGCGCCGCGCCTGCAACAAATGCCAGTCGCCCGCGGCATTCCCATCCGGATGCCGCCCGCCTCCGTGGGCATGCTTGCCGCGCCCCCTCCCGTACTGATTCGACTTGTTCTATGTTTTCTGCGCTTGCAGCCTTTGCCTCAGCCCCTGGGTGTGGCCGTGATGCCGCCCCGCGTCCACTGCCAGACTTCTTCAGCACAGGGTGTCGCACCGGCCGCTCCTGACGAAACTCATCGTGCTGTGAGTGCCCTCCTCATTTCTCCTGCCCTCCGCGGCCGTTCTCCACCTCCTTTCCCCTTTCCTGCAACTGGACACTTGGTGCGTGCCCAAGCCCAGCCCACCAGAGCGCGCGTGCGGATCGCTTTTGCCGCGCTGCGACGGAACAAATTCACCGTAAACGCCCAGAAGCCCTCCGCCTGTCTTCCCAGAGGCCTTCTCAGTAGCGCCTGTTCTCGCAGAAATGCCGCCCCCTCGCCCCCGCTCCCTGCTGCGCGCCGCTAGCAGCCGCACCGGTAGCGGTAGCAGCATGGCCGCCGCAGCCGCCGCAGCGGCGGACATGGCCGCAAG